TTCAAAAGTTAATAAATAATATTAAAGAATATACTAACCTGATCAATTAACTAGTCATAACCAAGAATATATTAATAGATGAAGGTATCGTAGAAATAGTAAATTACAAATTTGATGAAAAAGAAAAAGAAGCTAAAAATAATAATAATAAAGATCCTTCTCCTCTTATAACTATTACTGAAGCTGTAGAAGTCTTGAAAAAAGTTATTAGATATTAAGAAAGTCTTAAAGTCGAAAAAAGGTTCAAAAAAATAAACTAATGGCACTGCAAAAAAACTTAAAGAATGGTATTATGAAAAGGATAAGAACAAAAAGCAACTTTTAATTTTATCTTTCTTTGGTCTTAATTATTGAAACAGCTATAACTTAGATATTATGAATTACTCAAGTATTTAGAAAGAAAAAAAAAAAAAAGCAAAAAAGAAAAAAAACAAAAAAGAAAAAAAAATTTGGGATAGAGTTATATATAATACTTTTATAATTGTGTATTAAATCTGTAGAAATATTGATCTTGCAATCTTTGATTCTACTAAGTAAAGTAATAAAAATTACTTTTGTTGAATTAAAAGTTGTATTCAATTTTACCTTATATAAATGATTTTTTCAGCAAATTTTATTTCAGTAACTATGCGTTAATAGTCTACATACCAAATCTATCATTACAAGCATAAATAGTAATAGTATGATTGGCTTTGTTTAATTAACTTGTAGTGGCAAGTTCATAAAAAAGATTTTTTGATACAGGACAGTAAATTAACTAAAAAAATTCTAGACTTAATGTGTATGAAAGTGAAAACCTGTAACTAATTATAATAAATCATTAAAAATAATTATAGATTTTCACTCTTATACACTCAAATATAAAACTTAACTCAAGAGAACTAAATATCTTATGTGTGGTGAATAGTAACAAATAGCGAATCTAGCTTTATATTCAAAAATATAAATGTTCAGATCAATTGTTATGGCTGCACAAAATTATATACTTGGTATTCATATCATGGGTCAGTGATTAGTAATATGGGCATGTAGCTTTTTTTTTTATAATTAAAAAATTTTTTTTTAAATAATACTAAAAAAAGTATATTAAAGTTTATTATCCCACAGTTTAAATACTTATTATTATTATTGCTTGTTTAGATAACTTTATTTAGACAAGGAAAAACATATAAGAATCTATCTGCTATCATTTACAGGTTTTACAGACTCTATACCAAATATGCTTAAACTTAAATGGCTATATCTCTAAAGAAATATTTCATTTCAAACAATCCTATAACTTATTGTATATTTATAACTACATATAAATATATTGTAGCTGAAAAGGAATCATATAGCTATAAAGATATTGATAGTATGAATATTACTAAAATATAGGTTCTTGTACTGCCTACAGCAACTGCGAAGTCTAGTTACCAAAATACAAAGTTCATGTGCTGCCTACCGCAGCTATGAAGCCTAAACACAAATACCAGGTCTATAGCAGTTATGGAGCTTTAAATATCAAATATGAGGCCCTTATACTGTTTATAGTAGCCACAGAACCTATATACCAAACAGGAGGTTTTTGTGCTATTTATAATAGCTGCCAATATAAAGTCCTTAATCTGCTAGTAACAGTCACAAAACTTAATAATACTAATCAATGGATAGAAGGGTGGGACAATAGAGCCAGCCTTAACTTCAAAGCAAGTGATAATGAAAAGAAAGATAATCTCTTCTATTAAACAAAGGCTCTTTAAATACATTACTGATTATATATTTAGAACTATATGATTACTTCCTGTTTTCGTTATCTATCCTCATAGTAATTTACATTATAAATGATAAAAATATAATAGATAAACAAGAACTACATTTAGCAACACCAATCAACAATAATAAAAAAATAGCAGA